CTTGGACTCAGAAATGGATAAGTTCTTAAAACATACAGTTTTCTAAGACTGAATGATAAAGAAATAAAAAATACTGTATTGATGGATTCCTAGAAAGGAGACTGAATCAGTAGTTAAAAACCATCCAACATACAAAAGTCCAGAACCAGATGGCTTCACTGAATAGTGCTAAACATTGAAAGATTTAATCACTGTCCCCAGACTCTTCCTAAAAATTAAGGGAATGCTTCCAAACTCATTTTGCAAGGTCAATGTCTGATATAAAAACCAGACAAGGACACTAAAAATGAGGAAATTACAGGCCAATATCCCTAATATATAAAGATGCAAAAATCTTCAACAAAATATTAGAGAACTGAATGCAACAATGCATTCAAAGGATCATACTCCATGATCAGGTGGGGATTGCTAGAGGCAAGAATGATTCAACATCTGCAATTAAATCAACATGATACACCACATTAGCAAAATGAAGGATAAAAGTCATATTATCATCTCAATAGATGCAGAATAAGTATTTGACAATATTCCACATTCATTTATGATAAAATCTCAAAGTGTTATAGAAGGAATGTATCTGAATATAACAAAGTTCATTTATGACAAATCTTTGGCTAACATCATACTCAATGGTGAAAAGGTGAAAGCTTTTCTCTAAGATCAGGAACAAGACAAAGATGTCCATTTTTGCCACTTTATTCAACATAGTATTGGAACTCCTAGCCACAATAATTAGCCATGTAAAGGAAATAAAGGGCATCCAGTTTGGAAAAGAAGAAGTAAAACTGTAACTATTTGAAATAACATAATTCTATATATAGAAAACCCTAAAGATTCCACTAAAAAAATTGTTAGAACTCATAAATGTATTCAGTAAAGTTGCAGGATAGAAAATCAATATACAGAAATCTTTTGTGTTTCTATACACTGAGAATGGACTATCAGAAAAAAATATACTAAAAAAAACAGTCCCATTTATATTTGCTTCTAAAGAATAACATACCTAGGAATAAATTTAACCAAGGAAATGTAGATCTGCACACTGAAAACCAAAACTGATGAAAGAAATTGAAGACAAATAAATGGAAAGATATTCCATTCTCCTGAATTGGAAGAATTAATATCATGTCCAGGCTGGCTGCCCAAAGTAATCTAGAGATTACATGCAATCTCCATCAAAGTCCCAGTGGCAATTTTTAGAACTGGAACAGATATGTCTAAAATTTGTAAAAATCACAAAAGATCACAAATAGCCAAAGCAAACTTGGAAAGGAGGACAAAGCTGGAGGCATCAACCTTCCTGATTTTAAATTATACTACAAAGTTCTAGTAATCAAAACAGTATGGTATTAGCAATAAAACAGACAAATAGATGAATGGAACAGAATAAAGAACCCAGAAATAAACCCTCACGTACATGGTCAATTAATTTACAGTGAAGGAGCCAAGAATATACAATGGGGAAATGGTAGTTTCTTCAATAAGTAGTGTTGGGAAAACTGGACAGACACATGCAAAAGAGTGAAACTATGGACCACTATTTTACACAATACACCAAAATTAACTCAAAAGTAAGACCTACCTGAGTATAGGACCTGAAATCAAAATTCTAGAAGAAAACAGGCAGTTATCAGTTTGTAACCCTCTCAGGAGCTTATTGAGTATAATCTGAAACTGGCCACTGTACTCAGATGACAAGTAAGATGCAGGCCACTCCAGGTTGATAGGTGACAGTTTTAATAACTAAAAGGAAATTATATATAAGGCATGTCTTAGGTGGCAGCAAGACAAATGGATACCCATGGCCACCCGCCAAATCTTAAAAGTTTAACAAGAGGCCTTAACTGGGTCCAGTCAAGTATACTGTGCAGGTGTTCTTAGCACTACATCATTATCTCAAGGCTTTGCCTTTGGAGCAGCCTCTGGGAGCAAGAAAGGCAAGAGGAATGCACATTCCAAGGGAGGAGGTAACAAGCCTTTGATTGCCTGGTGTCAAGCTCACAGGTCAACTGGTGGTCACATCTTTTCAATGACCTTCCCCAACATTCCACCCCTCATGACTGGCTTTTATAATCTCATGTGCCCCCCTCTGAAATGGGCTCTAAGTGTTCAGCAAGGGGTTTTATTAGCATGGAGGTGGCTCCTTTTTTTTTTTTTTAAAGATTTTATTTATTTATTTGAGAGAGAGAATGAGAGAGAGAGAACACATGAGAGGGAATGGGGTCAGAGGACGAAGCAGACTCCCTGCCGAGCAGGGAGCCCGATGCGGGACTTGATCCCAGGACTCCAGGATCATGACCTGAGCCGAAGGCAGTCGCTTAACCAACTGAGCCACCCAGGTGCCCGGAGGTGGCTCCTTTGATGACTGTCTGGCTGCACTGGAGTCTAATGCCACAGCAGCAGTACAGGTGCATGTAAAAAGAAACAGATGAAATAAGACAATGATTACAAAATCAATGACAACTTTTTTTTATATGATCCCTTGATCTGAGCCACTGATTTATTAAGTCTCCTAAGCTGGGAATTGGATTACTCAGGGCATTCTGTTGTATTTCATGTGATTTAATAAAGATGACACATTAGCAGATTCACTGGGGGTGATCACACAACATTGTGTTTGGATAGTGGCACAGGTACCACCTTATGAGGCAGTAATAATGTCTAAGGCCATTTTATTTTGGAGTAGAGCTTTATAAGTAATGAGTACAGCTTATCAGAGACATTTCAGTGTTCAGTAAGGACAGGTTTTATTGCTATCATTTAATGCTTGCTGAGTGAATTTATTAAGGGCTTCACATTTGCTATTAATGTCTTCTAAATCTAAGCCAATGGAGGGAAAAAGGACAGTGGCAAAATGGTCTTATCAGTGGAAAAACCAAATATTTCCCCTGACTTTGAGGAGAGGGAGGTTAGCACCTTTAGAAACTTGACCTGGTTGTACATACCATACATGTTGGTCGGCGGGGGGGCAGCACTGTCAGGTGTAAAGAGATGAACTGGGGACAGGATATGTCATTACCAGGGCCCCCGTTTTCTCCATTCTTTCAGTGGTGCATGCTTCATTTCAGTTATAGTGCATTTTAACAGTCCCAGCGTGCAGCAGGACAAGGGGATATTAGTGAAGATTGAGTAGTTCTTCACCCAGGGGTGTGAAGGAATTCACCTGTTTCAGTGGGATATTGCATTGTAAATTCTAGTAGATAATTCTTTTTTAAAGAATGATGGGGCTTGGTGTTTTCCACAGCATAGTGTGTTGATCCACTGTGAGATTTTGGACAATGGCTGTTTCCAGAAACTTCTATATCTTTACAGTATTGGGTGCCTGGGCAGGGATCCCTAGTCTGGCATATGGGGCAATAGGCCCTACTCTTTGGTCATTTAAATATGCTAAAGCCTAGGACAGTACTTTTGTCCAGTTGGCCAAGGTGGTTTTGCCTGTTAAGTGTTTAATATGCTGTTTTAATATCCATTTTCCTTTCTACCAATCCTGCTGCTTGTGAGTTATAGGAGAGATGGAACCTTTATTTAATGTCACATTTTTTTTAAAGATTTTATTTATTTATTTGACAGAGAGAGACACAGCGAGAGAGGGAACACAAGCAGGGGGGAGTCGGAGAGGGAGAAGCAGGCCTCCTGCTGAGCAGGGAGCCCGATGCGGGACTTGATCCCAGGACCCTGGGAGAAGGCAGATACTTAACTACAGAGCCACCCAGGCGCCCCTTAATGTCACATTTTATTGTTCAGTCTTGCACATCATGGCCTTTGAAATGTGGCCTCTGATAACTATGTTTTTGATGAGGGTATTCATACATGGTACTCAGTTTCTTAATCCCCTAATGATGACAGCCTGGTTTGCAGGGTGGCAGGGAAAAGTGTGGGTTAGAACAGATGCAGTGTCTACATAAACCAAGGCATATTTAGAACACTCACTTAGAGGAGGCCAATATAATCAATTTGCCAATTTCTCATAGGTTGGGAACTCCAGTGGATGGCCTGATTCTTTTGGCAGTTGCCTTTGGTGGTGTTTAGGACACACAACATGCTGTTATTACTTTAAGTCAGTGTACTCTGAGGGCAGTCCAACATCCTTGACAATATGCCATCCTACTTGGGCATTGTGGGGGCCACTCTTTATATGCACCCAATCTGCCTAAACTACTGACAGGTCAGTAGCTAGGGCTCATTCCCAAGGTAGGGCACCAGGTTCCTGATTGCTAGGGGGGTGTCAGTGTCTTAAGAACTGGGACATGAAAAACAGTGAGAAACACTTCAGGCTCTTGCAGGTGGACCCAAATGTCATATTATATATATCTTGACCCCACAAGGAATTTTTAATGATCAGCTTCCCATTACTCAAGTCATAAATTTAATCCCTTAGAATAGTCTAATTATCAGTACAAAGGGTTAATGGCCAGGGCTCCTGAGTGATCAGCAGCCAGACCACTATGAGCTCAGTACTCTAGTTGCTGTACTGGCTTCTGTGTGAGAAGTTTTACCTGGAATAGCACTGTGTACATTGCTAGGAGCTCTTGCTCTATGTGGATATATTGGGGTTTTGCCCCCTTCAGAGCTGGAACCAAAATCCCAGGGGCATTCTCCCCTTTTGTTATCTCTGCCGTACTGTCTGACCCATATCTTTTGGAGTCATAGACACATCAAACTCAAATGGTGGCCCTACTTAGGAGATGCTCAGAGCTTTAATCTGTTTTATTAGTATTTTTGCCTTCTCAAAGGCAGCATGCTGCTATTGTCCCCAGTCTCTTTACCAGGGAGCATAAGGAATGGGAGTGCTGTGCCAGGTGGAGATTAAAAGTCTTCCATAACCCCAAAATCCCTATAAAGGACTGCACCTCTTTCCCATTCTTAAGAGGCTGGATAGGCTTGCACCTTTTCAGTTACAGCTTTATGAGTCTTAGCTGACCAGATGACACCTAAAACCTTATAGCAGTGTCTAGGCCTTGAATTTTCTTTGGGTTCATTGCCCATCTTCTTCCTCACAGATGTTCCTGAGCAAAGCCTGCAGGTGTCCTGCAGCAGAGGTAAATCTTTACATGTTAACATTGTATTATCAATGTGTAATGGGCCCATTTTGCTGATGTGGGGAAGGAGAACAGGGATAGGTCCCCAGCTACCATTGTATGACATATTGTGGGGCTATGCACGTAGCCTTGGGGGACCACTTGAAAGGTTCATTATTATCTCTCCAAGAAGAAAGCAATTTGATCTTAGTTATCAGAAACCTGTCAAAGTCATTTCCATGAGTGTTCTTAAAGATGAAGCACTGTTGTAGGGATTCTTTTTGCAAAGCATCAGAGCAAAACAATAACTACAAATGAGAGAAGACTTAAAAATGGTCATTTGATTTGATGAGAGTTCATTATGATGCAATGGACAAGAGAACTATAGCTGTATTCTTAAAAGATCCCCTGCCTTTTTCTGGCAATGTTTTGGTTATCTCCAGGGGTATTTATATTTCAAAGATATGATAAGATTTATATACTTCAGGGGACAGAGAAAGATGTAAGTTTTCTCCTAGGAGTTTTGAGGTAACTGCTATATAAAATTAGAGGTCAGAAGGTATGGGACATTTTGTCTGTTTCCTCATCAATTACCACAGCATCCCCCTCTTGATTTTCATTTTCTCCAAGATTCCACCTCTTAGCATCCTAATCAGGCTTTCTCATAAGTTCTCATATCTTAATACATGACAGCTTGTATCTTCCTTGCTTTGCAAAACAAGACACTAAGGTCTCCAATTTATTAGTTTGCTCTTCCATCTTGTCTGCCAGCCCCAGAGGTAGCAGAGTAGTGGACACTCACATATCCTTTTCTAAACTCAGCTCTTTCTAACTTGAGCTTTAGCTTCTAGTTGGGCATCAGTGGCCAGCTGAACTACCCACAGTAGAAGCCCACTATGGCAACCATGTTTCCCTTCTCTGCCTCAGTGTGGTATGTGCCTTTCCTCCAACAAGTACATTAGATTGGCTGGCATTTTCTGGGTGTCCCCATATTCATGTAGTAGTCCATAAGCATCTAACATACCTGCCACCCTTCCTTACACAGAAGTTGATGGCTAATTTGGGATTTCTCCTGTGGATGCCTCATTCCCAAGGCCCATTTCTTTGGTCTCTGGGCTAGCTCACCAATTGTCAATTTACAGCCCCCTTGGGGTCTTCTTGGATATAATCTGAAACTGGCCCATGTACCCAGAGGGCAAGGAAAGACAAAAGAAAGAGGTAGGCCATTCTGGGTTGGTAGGTGGCAGTTTTAATAAGCAAAGGGAATTTACACATGAAGTTTGTTTTGGGTGGCGGCAAGATGAATGGATCTTGGTGCCTGCCCACCAAATCTTAAAAGTTTATAAAGAAGCTTTAACTGAGTTCATTCAAGTATACTGTGCAGGTGTTCTCAACACCACATCATTGTCTCAAGGCTATGTCCTTAGAGCAGCCTCTGGGAGCGGGAAAGGCAAGTGGAACCCATATACCAAGGATAGGGAAGAGGGTAAGGAGCCTCTGATTGCCTGGGGTCCAGCTCACAGGTCACCTGGCAGTCACATCTTTTTCATGACTTTCCCCAGCAGTGGTAAGGTCCTTGACATTGGTCTTAGTGATTTTTTTTTTTTTTAAATCTGACTCTAAATGTAAGGGAGACAAAAGCAAAAATGAACAAATGGGACTACTTCTTAGTAAAAGGCTACTGCACAGTGAAGGAAAACATCAATAAAACAAAAAAGCAACCTAGTAGATGGGAAAGGATATTTCTAAGTAATATATCCATTAAGGGGTTAATACCCAAAATATATAAAGGATTCATATAACTCAACAACAAAAAGACAGCCCAATTAAAAATGGGTAGAGGAACTAAATAGACATTTTTTTTTTCCCTAAAGAGGATATGCTGATGGCCAACAGGCACATGAAAACATGTTCAACATCACTAATTATCAGGGAAATGCAAATGAAAACCACAATGTGATATCACCTCATACCTATTAGAATGGCTGTTATCAAAAAGGCAAGAAATAACAAGTGTTGGAGAAGATGTGGAGAAAAGGATACTCTTGTACACTATTGGTGGGAATGTAAATGTAAATTGGTGTAGCCACTATGGAAAGCAGTATGGAGATTTGTCAAAAAATTAAAAATAGAACGACCATAGGATCCAGATATTCCACTTCTGAGTATTTATTGATGAATACAAAAACACTAATTCAAGTAGATATATGCACCCCTATGTTCATTGCAGCAGTATTTATAGTAGCCAGAATATGGAAACAACCTAAGTGTCTATCCATGGATGAATGGATAAAGATGTGGTACACACACTGGAATACTGCTCAGCCACACATAGGGAAATCTTGCCATTTGTGACAATACAGATGGACCTTGAGGGTATTGTGCTAAGTGAAAAATCTGATGGAAAAAGGCAAATAACATGATTTCACTATGTGTGGATTCTAAAATAACAAAACGAATGAACAAATCAAACCAAACAAAAACAAACTCATAGATACACAGATCCGTGATTACCAGAGGGGAAAGGGTGTTGGGGGATGGGTGAGAGGGCTTATTTGTATGGTGATGGATGGTAATTAGACTTGCAGTGGTTATCACTTTATAGTATATACCAATATCCAATTATAATATTGTACAACTGAAACTTATATAATGCTATATGCCCATTTTACCTCAATAAATAATAAAAGACATGTTAAGTATATCTTGAGAAAAAATAATTTGCTAATTTAGCTTGTTGATTTTAGTTTGATTATTTTCAGAATGCCATCACGGACTCCTAAAATCTAATCCTACTCAGTTATCAATAACAATAGGGAACAGCTTTATACCTGGGTGACAGCCATTGGTGGCTGGCCATTGGTGACTGGACCTTTTCTTCAAAGCTATTTCTACTTTCTTTTTTTAGGAAGCTTGGAGCCAGTAATTTTTTTTTCATATCCCTGTGAACCTTTCATCTCTTTCTCCTCTTCCTTTCCTTACCTTTTTCTCTAGATAATTATTTACTATGGTGTATGGGAGTACTTGTTTTTCAGCTCACTATACATCTCATATACCTTATTGTCAAAGCTGTATAGTCAGCAATTGAAAACACTCAGCTTTGCAAGTCTTAAGATTACTGTTTTTAGTACTGTTGACCTCTCATTTGGAATAGTATTAGTGCACATCAATAAAATACACACAGTTTCCCTGAATCATGACTATTAGAAAAAGATACTTTGTGAGTTACAAAATCAATCATGTTCCTGAAATTTGTACTAAAAGAGACCTGTTAGAAACCTTCTCCTTGAGCTTTTGGAAACAGCCTCCTGATTTTGTCCCATCCCATAAGCATAATTGAACAGTTACTTATGAATCATTACTGAACCAAGCTGAGCTCTCACCTTGCTGTTACTTATTCCTAGATACTAAAATCCTGGAATATTATTTAAATTGTGAAAGAGAAAAACTTAGGAAATATATAAAGATCTCAGTCTGAGACTATCCAGTGGGAGAAATCCATTTGTACTAGAGTATGCAAAGGAGGCATCTTTACAATTACCACCCAAGCAGGGTATGTATACAAGTGCAGTCAAGTTTATTGAGAGCTGAGTGAGGAGGTAGTAGAAACAACGGGCAAGAATTGAATGGGGGAAAGATAAAGAAAAATTGATTATTAGAGTTTTGTGCATTTTTTTTGCCAGGGGTCCAGCTAAGGGACCCCTGGCAAAAAGAAGAAAGTCAAATAACCTAATTATTCCCTGTTGAAGTCAGTGGCTACTGTTAGTTATCAAAAATAAGGTGTACTTTCAGAACATCTAAAACCAGTTATTGCAACTGGCAGTGAGAATCCAGAATCTGTCCGATAAATACTATAGTGAAATCATGGAGCAGTATGAATATAACTCTGAACATATGAAAACAGTTTAATAATGATTTTTTAAAATTGAAAAATAATTGAAATAAATAAAATGAAAAATAAAAATAAAGATATTTAGTATTTGAGCTTTTTATTAAAAATTCAAATGCAGTTCAGTAACTGAGTATTTTGTGAAAATATGTACAACATTTGAGGGTACATTTTAGCTTTATTATCAAGGAATAAAGAGAACAAAAATGCATATTCTGGCTTATACTTTAATCTTCTCATCACTATAATACACATTATATTTGTAAAAGTATAGTTTAATCATTATAAAAGAAGATTCAAAGAGAAGTATCTAAACTATTGTACCTAAAGACAGATGAATCTGTCTTTGTAAAATAAATAATCCGTGTGAGAGGCTGGAAATGATTGATTTATTTTCTGAAATTAAAAAAAAATTAATTGGGAAATTTAGTTCAACTGCTATTAAATCTGTTACTTTAGGGTTGAATTTTAGGTTAGTGTGCTGTCCTATTATGGGGGACATAAAACTAGTATCTATTCAAAACTGTCTCTTGAGATTATGATTTAGAAACAGGTTTGCTTATATCTGGTTTGTTTCAAATTACTGCTAATAAGTATTCTTCCTCAGTTAATGCATTGTTTCAGCCTTCATTAATTTTTTAAAGAAAATTGGAGTTTTTTCCAAGAAAATTATAGCATTAAAAAGTCTACTCCATGATGCTTTTGCATGTGAATTTGAAGGGAAGAGTACTTTGTTTTACAAATAAATTAACTCTAACCAAAATTCTGTTGTTTTATGTCTTAGGACAAAGTTGTTGCTGTTCAGTTCTGTAACAATGGAGACAGGTAACTATGTAGTACATATCTGTGTAAACAGATGTTTGACATATTTTACTTCTATTCCTTCAGAAGTAGCTCCTTCTACTGTAGTACTTTATTTCTGTTCAGTTTCTTAAGCTGAAAGCCCTTGTCTATTTCTGATGACATCCTTACCCCATCTCTTTTAAACTCCATCTCTACTACTCCAAGTAGTAACCATACTTTATCAGTTCTTTCTTTCTGAGTGATTTCTTTTTTGTTTATTTTGTTTTTCCATTTCTATTATCACTCACTTTAGCCAAGGATTCTATTTTTTGACCCATTACCTTCAGTTTTATTTTCCTTTCTAAATATATCCTGTCCATTTCTGCCAGATCCACATTGCTCTGTTCAGAAAACTTTAGTGTTTCCTCTTTGTCTATAGAATAGAATTCAAATGTCTTAGCCTTGAATTCAGAACTTTCTATAACTTAACTTAGACCTACATTCTTTTCTCATTTACTATTCCCCATATAAATCATTATATTTAGCCTAATTGACTTAATCATTGCTCCTGTTACATCCATATATCTATATTTTTTCTCTCATTCATTGCTTTGCTTATACTTTACCTCACACCATTCTTACTCAAAAATATCACCCCTACTCCCCCCTCACTCCTTCTGTTTTCCTCCTACAGCCTTCCTCTCCCTTTCGCTCTCCTTCACTCTATTTTTCTTTTCCCTCCAGTCCCTTTCTCTTATTTTCTAAGTCCTGCCTTCCCATGTTCTACCTGAAGCCTTTTCTGACTGCTCCAGATTTTAGCCATATTGTCTTCCTCTGAACATCTGTATTACTTATTGTCTCTCCTACTCATATGATACATATTTCCTATGTCTGTAAACTCAGACATTATATGTAGGTATTTGTGTACCCTCTCAAATGTTTGATCCCAAAAGGATGATAATCTTTTGCCCTGGTCTAAAAATTGACCTAAAATAGATTTAAAAATGTAGCCACTTAACATAAATGTGTATCCATATATTTCTATAAGGACTTTATGTGGGTGACCATGTTTTAATTTAATTTAATTTAATTTTTTTGACCATGTTTTATTTTTAAATATTTTTCAGACAGTGGGTGATTGCTATGATGAATTTGTTCATCTTTATTAAATGCAAGAGTAAATAATGATGGTCCACATAGAGTGAAGTTTATATTAGGAGTGAGAAAACCTTCAGATAATTTTTTGAGGTTGATTTATTGCACTATACTGAGTTATACACTTGAAGGTTTGTACAGCTATGATTCTTTCATGCTAGAGGAATCTGAAGTTTTTAATTCCTTGCCTTTTCCCTAAAGGAGAAACATTATTTTATCTTCACTAGTTATGTGGACAATAAACAAAGGATGTCCAATTTTACTAATAGTTAAAGATGCAGTTTAGAATAAAAGTAACATTTTTTTTTCTTTCAGAGTGACAAGATAATGAAGAATGTTAGCACCCAGTATTGCCAAGGGTTTAGGGAAAACGGGCACTCACTCTCCCACAACTTTTGAAGAGACTGTAAAGTGTTAAAAAACTTTTCAGGGAAATTATTCATCAAAAACTTTAAAAATGTGCTGACCATTTGACTCAGCAAAGATATGTATAAGGTTGTACAACGATATGTATAGAGATACTCATCACAACATTATTTATAATGGTGAAGAATGGAAATAGTATAAATATTTATCATTAGGGAGTTGATTAAATAAGCTTTGATTCATCCAAATAGTTGAATACTTACTAAAAGTGACAATAGTTTTATTTATAAACCTAGAGATATATCTATAAAATAACCCTTAGGGGAAAACACAAAACATTATATGTAGTACAATTCTGTTTCCTGTAGGGGGAAATATGTAAGTGTATATGTATGTCTTTAATAAAGTCTGGTGAAATAGGAATGAAAGTATGAACAGTGATAAAATTATGGGTGAATGAATGTATTTTTGTAAGTTTTATTGAGATATAATGCACATAACATAACTTCTCTGTTTTTTAGTGTATTCATGGGGTTGTGCAACCTTTACCACAGTTTTAGAACATTTTTAGCACCCCAAAAAGAATTTCCATACCCTTTAGCTATCACTCCCCAATATGTTTACACCCCCACCCTTAACTCTGGGCAACCTTTAATCTAGTTTTTATCTTTATAGATTTGCCTGTTCTGGAAATTTTATATAAATTGAATTATACAATATGTGGTTTTTTGTGACCGACTTCTTTCACTAAGCGTAATGTTTTCGAGATTTAGTCATGTTGCAGCATGTATCATTATTTCTTTTTATTGCTGAATAATATTTTTATGGATACCATAATTTGTTTATCCCTTTATTAGTTGATGGACATTTGGATTGTTACCACTTTTTGGCTTGTGAGGAATAATACCATGGATATTCATGTACAAGTTTTTCTGTGGACTTAATGTTTCATTTCTCTTGGATTTATACCTGGGAGTAGAATTGTTGAGTTATATGGTGACTGTTTATCATTTTGAGGCACTGCCAAACTGTGTTCCAAAATGTATAATTTTCATTACCCCCAGTAGCGTATGGGGATGAACATATTACTTTCATAATTAGAAAAAAAGTGATTTATATTTTGGAAAAAGTAATAAGGATATTTTAACTGTTTCTTTGCAGTTTAAGATTTGTTAGTGGAAGTCGAGATGGAACAGCAAGAATTTGGCAATATCAGCAACAAGAATGGAAGAGTATAGTGCTAGATATGGCTACTAAAATGACTGGGTAAGATTGGATGTTAGTATAGTATCTTCTGATTTACTGAATTATATTTCATAATAAAAATATCTTTTTAGATTAGTAAGTAGTTTGGAGTTCATTGGTAGACCTGAAGTTTGTGTCTCTATTTAGTCTCTAAGTAAATTGCCTTTTGCTGTTGATTGACAGACTGGACGATAGAAACATTGCTGAGTCATTCAAAATTCTGGTCTCTTGTGACCCAAAGATCTCTACTCTGCTAATGCCCACAGAGTTATTTTCTGCCTTAGTTTTCTATAGGTCATTTTTAATATCTATCTATACTACTTTCTACTTTGAGGGTTGTCCCTATTAAATGTCATCATACGTTTAACTATTTCTCTGTCTTACTGATGTTACCTTTATAATGTTTCATATTGTTAGCATTCCTACTCAACATTATAAGTACACTTAATCAGCATTCTGTTTCATCGTCTTCCCTGTTGATTGGAAGATACATAATTACATCTTTAGGACATTACAGTTTCTATAGGGTAAGGCCCTGACATTAATTATCTTCCTAATAACAATATAGAACTGACATTGTAGTCCTAGCCAGCTATTCATATCATATTCAACTAAAAGTTAATGAATTTCTTGCTGTTCTTTTATAAGACCTATTAGTTTCAAAATTTATTATTTAAGGGAGTAAAGTGACCATTATATGTTTTCTTCATATTTTCTGGTAGCCAACATGACCTTGTATTTTATTTTTCAAGGGATTCGTAGATTTTTTTCTAGTTTCACCTTTTTTTTGTTCTTGTGTAACTAACTACAAAATTTTGTCATTTTGTGCCTTTTGTCTTCCTAAAATAAGCTTATGGGTCTTGCCCTATTTAGGTACTTTTAATATTTTATTTTGTGAGTACTTAAAGGTATAGTTTAGGATTTTTTTATCTAAAAATTTATAAGCTACTGGAGACATTTTTTTTCATAATTTTCTATTTTAGATGTACCTTTGTTAATAATTTACAATGTATGAATACTGCAAATTATTTTATTTAGGAATAATTTGCCATCTGGAGAAGACAAGGTCACTAAACTTAAGGTGACTATGGTGGCCTGGGATCGCTATGACACTACAGTTATTACTGCAGTGAACAATTTTCTTTTGAAAGTATGGAATTCTCTTACGGGGCAACTTCTTCATACTTTATCTGTAAGTATTTTTGGAATAATTAAAATGATCAAAAAGGGTGTTTTTCCAGAAGACAGGAAATTTAAATTTTAGTTTACTTTCTGTGACTTACTGTCTCTTGGAGAAGTAAATATTTCAGTCACCTTTGTAGACATATCTGCAAAATAAAGATGGCACATGGTATAGCTGCTAAAAGCAGGTATGAAAACATTTCAAGGTCCTTTTGAGGTCTGATAATTACTTATTTTGTTAAATGCAGTCAAGGATATATAGGTTATTTTGTTTTTAGCATGAGTTGGGATTTTTGTCATTGTTTTAGGGGTAGAGCTAACTTTATTTTGACAAGGGTATACTTTATATTCTACTTTCAGGGATTCATTTATGCAAGAAGTAGAGGTAAGAGGAAAAAGTAGGCGAAAAAGGTGGCTTTTCTTCTTTTTTGTTGTAGTAAAAGGTGTAATATTTGTGGCATGAAAAACTGATAGGATTAACAGCAGAAGTCACATAGGTGGCATTGTTTGTTGGTTTAGCATGTACACTTCAGGTTAAATGCCACTTAAAAGCCTTATTTCCTATCTGCTTCAGTTATCAGTTCCTAAATACTTTAAGAACAGGGCCAAGTGATTGCCATATGGTTTACAAAGTATTAAGTGATAAGGACTAGAATCCAGTTCTCATGACTCAATTTACTTTGTAGTATACCATAGTATCCATCCTTATTTAACTCCTTTGTAAGATAATCTTATTTATAACCTCTGAGATTTCTAAAGATTTGTTTAATTTTGGAAGGAATTCCATATACCTCCCAATTCTTGTTCCTAAATAAAACCCTGACACTGTGTTAGTGGAGTTTTAGTTTCTTTTTTTTTTTTTTTATCTGCTTAGCCAATTCTTTATCCCCTTCTGCCTTTCCCTATTCCCCAATGTAAGTTTCTGTTAATATGTATAGAAAAATCTATACTATTTGCTTGATTCTTTATTAGGAGGTGTTTGTCTACGTGGCATGCTCCAAGAGAAATATAATATGAGCCACATATGTAATATTAATTTTTCTAGTAGCCACAACAGAAAAAGTAAAGCACAACAGGTGAAATTAATTTTAATAATATATTTCATTTAACCCAGTATATCCAAAATAATAGTATTTCAACATGTAACTAATATGAAAATTATTAATTTTAACTATTTCATATTTTTAAAATACTAAATCTTTGAAATCTAGTGTGTATTTTACACTTACACAACATCTCAATTTGGACTAGCCGCATTTCAAATGCTTAATAGCCATATGTAGCTATTAAATACAGTATTAGACAGCACAAGTCTATATATCTAAAAATCACAGTTTCAAAGTTCATGTCATAGCCACTGGTTTTATAGATCTGTGTAAAATTCTGTCCTAACAAGTACCTTAATTTAGAATTCTGTTTAGTGGTACTCTTCCCATGGGTTGATTAATGGGTCATCTTTTTCAGTGAATTTTACTGAAAAAATTTTAGAACAGACTATTTTTATTTTTAGACCTTGTTAACAGCCAAATCTACTTAGTTTTGATATTTATCTTTTCTGTGTTAACAATTTGTTTATTGGGGTCTTAGTGTGGTGTAAAGTTCTTCCACTCAGCAAATACTTACTGAGCATCTACTGTGTGCCAGCAACTGAGTTAGATGTTAGGAATAAATAGTAAATTAGAGAGTCCCCATCATCCTGGGATTTACAGCCTATTAAGAAAAAAATTAAAAAAAAAAAACACAAAAAATAAATAAATGGTCAGAAGAAAGAAGTGGAAAATACAATGCAAGTTTCTAATAGGGTGACCAAACCTGGTCTAAACCTATTTGACCGTGGTCAAAATAGGGTCAGAGAAGATTCCTAAGGAAGTTAAATTTGGGATAAGATTTGAAAGATAGATAGAAATTACCCAAGTCTCAGCCTAAATGTCACCTCCTTGACAAGGCCTTTCCTGATCAAACAATCTAGAGTAGCCTTCCAGTCTTTATCTTATTCTATCACCTTGCTTTCTTTTCATCATAGTGTTTATCACTACCTGGTATTTTCTTGTTTGTTTATTTTCTGTCTCAATATGGTAGGATATCGATAAATATTTGATAAATTACATATGTGAGAGAGTTGGGAGGTCCTTACAGGAAGAGGGAAAAGCACATCAAAGGTCTTCAGGTAGAAGGGAGTTGAAAGAAAGCCAATTTTTGGCTAGAGCACAGAGAACAAAGAGTGTCACCAGATAGGTTTGGAGAAATGGAGACGCCAGACCACTCAGGGTCTTATAGGATCTATCCTAGACCAACAGTAAACCATTAAAAGATTTAAATGCTAAGGAATGACATGTGAATTTTGCTTTTGAAGAATACCATATAATTCTGGCAACAGAATAGAGAGAATTGGAATGAAGATAAGAGTGACTCTGGTATAATGTCTATGGTAGGATGGGCCATGATGATAATTTGGATTTGTGTGGCAGTGATGAAAATAGAGGTGTGCTTAATAAATAAAAATAAGGCAGATGATACATCTTAAGACATTACTGAATTTGGTTAGGTTTTGTTCCCTATGATCCAGTGACTATGCCCTATCCTATGACATGTGACCAACAAATAAAATCCCCTATTTAAAAGCCTCTCTTTTCCAGTGTACACTGAAATAGTTGTATCATTATCATTTGAGTTTAACAAAGTAGTTTTATTGTTTACTCATTAGGAACCTGAGAAAGTATTTGTTATATGCTATATTTAGCATATAACAAGTAATTTTTTTAGTGGTCACTGGGAAGAGTCTTGGTAAACTTTCAGTTGTAAGAGTATTTATTGCAATGGGATTTTACCTACACATTTTGAGCCAGTGTGCAGTTATTTTTTAATAAGTTATATTTTTGTACATAAAGGTAACATGGTAGGGTGCTCTATTCCATTTTTTATACAATGATTTAGGATAAAATGCACTTTTTAGGGTCATAAGATATGATGATTTCTAAAAACTCCTGATGATGCTGATGTGTTCCTAAGTGAAACGCAACTTCAGGATGTCATGCATGCTTTTCTAAGACTTGGAGCCTATCATTAATCATGTATTCTCCTTAACAATGACCTGAATCAAGTGTTGGCAAACTATTTCTTTAAGAGGCCAGATAGTATTTTAGGCTTTGCAGGCCACATATAGTCTCTGTTGCATATTCTTTGTTTTTTTGAAGTCTTTTAATGTAAAAACCATTCTTAGCTCACAGGCTCTATGTACAAAAATGTCTGGGAGCTAGATTTGGCCTGAAGGCTATAGTTGCAGACTCCTGATCTAAGGTCTTTATATACTGATATCGGTAAGGGAAACATATATAGAGAGCATTGGTTTCCTTTTCTTTTTTTTTTTTTTTAAGATTTTATTTATTTATTTGACAGAGAGAGAGATAGCGAGAGCAGGAACACAAGCAGGGGGAGTGGGAGAGGGAGAAGCAGGCTTCCCGCCGAGCAGGGAGCCCGATGTGGGACTCGATCCCAGGACCCTGGGATCATGACCTGAGCTGAAGGCAGATGCTTAATGACTGAGCCACCCAGGCACCCGAGAGCATTGGTTTTCAAACTTTTTTAGCAACAAACCCATTTTTCAGATAGCATATTAAATGAAACCTTCAACTGTAAAGTAGATAAAGGGCAGAGCCACTATGCTTTTTTATTTGAATGTACCGTGGGGCCTTCCAAAATCTAATTTGAATACTAGGGATAGAGAGTGCTGGATAAAGAACAATGAAGGTTTGTGTGTTATCTCTGTGGCAGAATTGGGTGTTAATGAAAGATTCTGTTTGTCCCATTTTCGGTGGGTCTTAAATAGCAGAGTCATAGAAATACAAATTATATTTCAGGGGCCTGGTTAATGAGCTGTAACTGTTTGGGACTACACTTTAAACACCTTCCTTGGTCTTCTGTATTGAATACTTTTTGAAATCAGCACCCAAACATATAAGGAACTCTAATTGAACTATTTCTTTTAGTGTCCATGTAGTAAATGCTGTGGTGTACATCATCTGCGTGGGATTAATAGCACACTCCTGAGATCTTTTGGCCAAATAAACCAAATACTTGGTGTTGCTTTTCATTTTTAATACTGATTTTATCACAGGGACATGATGATGAAGTATTTGTTTTGGAAGCACATCCATTTGATCAAAGGATCATACTTTCAGCGGGTCATGATGGGAACATTTTTATTTGGGACCTTGACCGGGGAACCAAAATTCGGAATTATTTTAACATGGTAAGAAAAATCTGTGTTTAGTTCATATTAAAACAGACATCTCTTATATGACAACTTGGTAATTAAAGTATACTTAGTGCTAAGGAACCTTTGTCATCTGTGTTTAAATCCATACAATAACTTAGAGAATGTCTCAAGACCTGAGAGTAAGGCCAATCCAGAATTACACCTTTCAGAGTGACTCTGTTATCGTGGCATTAGCATTTTCCAAATTCTTGTCCCCAGCTCTAAATTCTTTTTTTTTTAAATTTTATTTATTTATTTTGAGAGAGAGAGAATGAGAGAGAACACATGAGAGGGGATAGGGTCAGAGGGCAAAGCAGACTCCCTGCCGAGCAGGGAGCCCGATGCGGGACTCGATCCAGGGACTCCAGGATCATGACCTGAGCCGAAGGCAGTCGCTTAACCAACTGAGCCACCCAGGCGCCCCCAGCTCTAAATTCTAGAAACTCAAATTTAATAAGCTTTTGGAGGTAACAGTAACCAAACTCACAAAAAGGTTAATGTTTAAACAATAATCATAATGTATGAATCATAACAGGGACTGTATTGTATCTGCTTCTGGTAAACTCCATGTGGCTTAGTTAGTAATCAGGAAGTTGTTTGGCAAACATGGAATTGGAGGTATAGATACTCTTAAGATACATTTCATACAAACCATGGGAAAATCTGGTGAGCTACCTCTTTTTCCAGTAGAACACCCTCCTATGGTAATGGGAATACTCACATACTCCATATTTAGTGTTAGTTCTGAGGAAACATTTCTAAATTGTCAACCTTTGAGCTTCCTTTTATAGGCTTTGTAAGTTCGATAGTGTTAATATCCTCTGTCTTTTGTTAGTAAAATTGATTTATGTGTTTTATTTTAGGAAGGTTATTTTAAGGTTTGCTTGCATTATAATTTAAGGTGTGAAGATATTATCTTGATTTTGCTGAGATAGCACTTTTGTCATTTTGGTCGTGTTTAGGTCTTTTTTTTTATTCTCAGTCACTCATTTAGTACTTCTTGAGATACAACATTGCTAGTAATGTTTGATACCATCCATCTATTGCATTTTGATTCTTCCTAATTTCTTTCAGAGCTTTACTGTTTCAGTAGGGTTCTGGCAACAGAAGCCAGAGAGTACATTGGAATGTAGATGCATCACAGAATCCAAGATACTAGGAAGCAGAATCTATTGCCTACTTACTTGAAAATTACCTCTTAAAGATGACTTAAAGTGACTCCTCTAAATTTCAGATTGAAGGCCAAGGCCATGGTGCAGTGTTTGATTGTAAATTTTCACCAGATGGAAACCATTTTGCCTGCACAGACTCTCATGGGCATTTGCTGCTTTTTGGTTTTGGATGCAGTAAATACTATGAAAAGGTTAGTCTGTTTGATTTTTCTTATAGACTATAATTTTGGATTGTATCATTTATAAATCTTATTTGAAGTCTTCCAGTTAATAAGGGTCATTGAGTGTCAATAGATATAAAATAACAAAGTCACCTTTCTTGACAAAAGTTTTCATCACTGCCAGAACATAGACTTGGCAGTTTGAATCACTATTAAGATATAGGGTGATGTAGATAAAAAATTCATTAGGAAATCCTTTTGCTTAGAACATATTCTCTGTACTGCCCTTCAGGTATAATGGAGAACAACTTTACCAGATTGCATCCTCTAACTTATCATAAATTAGAAATAAACAGCTGGTGACCAAATGTTAATTTTCTTGCTTGGCCACTTTACCTTTTATCCATCTTGTTAAAATACTTTGGAAGCTAGCTTAAATGGTTCTTTATATTTTATTAGCTATGAATTTGAAATAGATTATGGATTCTTAGAATTGGAAGAGAACTCAGAATCATTGAATTTAGCTCAATACCTATCATCTTTGAGTATTTTTTATGTATTTGGTATTTACTTGCTTTGCCATTTATATTATACTTTCATCTATCCTTATTTGAATAGAAATAAGCAATAAAAATAGCTAGAAATGTTTGTATGTTTACAACTTAAGTAAAAATACCTAACTTTATCTACTGTGGCATTGCTCTCCTTCATATGCTAATTGGAGAAATATGATCTAGGACCAGAAAGTAATACAGATTATAGGATTTTGTGGAGAAGAGATAAGATTACTATTTAAGTGATTCATTTCTACCTAGAGGGAACATAAAGCAGTAGAGGGCTATAAGAGTATGTAAAAAGTGTCTGATTTGAAAAATGCATTCTCTCTAGGAATAAAATTTAATTCCCTATGCATGTTAAACACTTAAAACCTGTCATAAAGATTCCAGATCAGATGTTCTTCCACACGGATTATCGACCTCTTATCCGTGATGCCAACAACTATGTACTGGATGAACAAACCCAACAAGCTCCTCACCTCATGCCTCCCCCATTCTTGGTGGATGTTGATGGCAATCCTCATCCTACAAAATTCCAAAGACTAGTACCAGGACGGGAAAATTGTAAAGATGAACAACTTATACCACAGCTGGGATATGTGGCTAATGGTATGTTATCTCAAAACATTTTGCAAAATGTTATACTTGCTGCTGTTCTCTTTATATGTCCCTTGCTAAACTCTGTAGTAGGTTATACCATATTTTACCTAACACTTCTATTAATTTTCAGTTGCATAGTACTTACCAGAGTAGTTTTACATTTTTATATCACTTAAACACAGATAAATGGATTAGGACAACAAGCATATTCTCAAGCAGAGAATGCCTTGACCTGCTTCCTTAGAACCCTGAACATTAAATGTACTAACTTTAGTGTGTCAAGCTTTTCTCACTGCTGAAATTCCACTGCTACTATTACTGGTTTTTTGATTTGACAGTCCATAATTAATGGACCGAAGATGAGGAAATTTCAAAAACCAAAAACTGGGAAATGGCCATTTACCCATTCTCTTGTGTGAAATGCAAAGAATTATTTAGTGTTTAAATAACAGTCAATCCTGGGGGATGTAAAGGAAGCAGTGATGAGCATGATGCATGATGTAAGGATACTAGAATAAGACACTGAAAAATACTATTCCCTGTCAAAGCAACTCTTCTTTTTCAAATTTTAATTCCAGTATGGTTAATATGCAGTGTTATATCTGTTTCAGGCATACTATATACTATATAGTGATTCAAGAATTCCATGTATCACCCCGTGCTCATCACAACAAGTGCACATTTTAATCCCTATCACCTATTTGGCCCATGCCCCACCTACCTCCCCCTACTAACCATCAGTTTGTTCTCTATAGTTAAGAGACTATTTCCTGGCTTGTCTCTCTCTCTTTTATTTTCCTTTGCTCATTTGTTTTGTTTCTTAAATTCCACATATGAATGAAGTAATACAGTATTTATCTTTCTCCACCTGACTTATTTCAATTAACATTACACTCTCTAGCTCTATCCCTGTCATCGCAAATGGCAAGATTTCATCCTTTTTTTTATGCCTGAATAATATTCCATTGTGTATTTGTGTGTGTGTGTGTATATATACTATATCTTCTTCATTCATTAATCTATTGATGGACACTTGGGCTGCTTCTGTATTTTGGCTATTGTAAATAATGCTGCTATAAACTTAGGGGTACATTTATCCTTTTGAATTGACGTTTTGTATTTTTTGGGTGAATATCCAGTAGTGTGGTTATTGGATCTTAGGGTACCTCTATTTTTAACTTTTTTTTTAAGATTTATTTATTTGAGAGAGAGCAAGTGCAGGGAGGGGCAGAGGGAGAGAGAGAGGGAATTTCAGGCAGACTCCCCGCTGAGAACAGAGCCCGACACCAGACTTTTACCTCACGATCCTGAGATCATGACCTGAGCTGAAATCAAGAGTCAGACACTTAACTGACTGTGTCACTCAGGTGCCCCACTATTTTTAACTTTCTGAGGAACCTCCATACTGTTTCCACAGTAGCTGCACAGTTTGCATTCCCACCAACAGTGCAAAAGGGATCCTTTTTCTCCACATCCTCACCAACACTTGATGCTTCTTGTGTTTTTTATTTTAGACAAGTGTGAGGTGGTATCTCATTGTAGTTTGGATTTGCATTTCCCTGATGATGAGTGATGTTGAGCATCTTTTCATGTGTCTGTTGGCCATTTGGATGTCTTATTTGGAGAAATGTTTATTTCTTCAGCCCATCTTTTAATTGGATTATTTGGTTTTTGGGTGTTGATTTATGTAAGTTCTTTATATATTTTAGATACTAACACTTTATTGGATATGTCCTTGGCAAATATCTTCTCCCATTCAGTAGCATAACATTTAGTTTTGTTGATTGCTTCCTTTGCTGTGCAGAAGCTTTTTATTTTGATGCAGTACCAATAGTTTATTTGGCTTTTATTTCCCTTGCCACAGGAGACATATCTACAAAAATGTTGCTATGACTGATATCAGAGAAATTATTGCTTATACTCTCCTCTAGGATTTTTATGGTTTCAGTACTCACATTTAGATCTTTTAAAAAAAAATTAAAGATTTATTTATTTATGAGAGAGAGAGAGTGGGGAGAGGGGCAGAGGGAGAAAGATAATTCTCAAGCAGACTCTCCACTGAGCATGGAGCCCAACTCGGGGCTCAGTCCTAGGACCCTGATCATGACCTGAGCCAAAATCAAGAGTCAGCTACTTAACAGACTGAGCCACCCAGGCGCCCCAGTATAGACATTTTTAAATATTTGTTCTTCAATCCATAAGCATGGATGTCTTTCCATTTCTTAGTGTCATCTTCAATTTCTGTCATCAGTGTTTTATAGTTTTCGGAAGATAGGTCTTTCACCTCTTTGGTTATAGGTTTATTCCTAGGTAATATTATTTTTGATATAATTTCAAATGTGATTGTTTTCTTAAATTCTATTTCTGCTGCTTCATTATAAGTGTAGAGAAATGCAATAGATTTCTGCACATTTATTTTATATCCCATGACTCCTGAATTCATATGTCAGTTCTAGTAGTTTATTGGTAGTTTTTAGGGTTTTCTATATAGAGTCTCATGTCATCTGCAGATAGTGAACATTTAACTTTTTCCTTACCAATTTGCCTACCCTATATTTTTTTGTGTGTGATCTAATAGCTATGGCTAGGATTCCAGTACCTTCTGGAATAAAAGTGGTGAGAGTAGACATTCTTTTCTAGTTCCTTACCCTAAGGGGAAACCTCTCAGTTTTTCCCCATTGAGGATTATATTAGCTGGGGATTTTTTTGTCATTCATGATGTTCAGGTATGTTCCCTCTATCCCTACTTTGTTGAGGGTTTTTATCATGAATGGATGTTATACTATATCAAATGCATTCTCTACATCTATTGAAAGGATCATATGGTTCTCATCCTTTCATTTATTAATGTGGTATATCAAATTGATTGATTTGTGAATACTGAGCCACCCTTGCAGCCAAGGAATAAATCCTACTTGATTGTTGGATTCTGTTTGCTAGCATTTTGTTGAGGATTTTTGCATCTATGTTCTTCAAAGAGATTGACCTGTACTCTTTTTTAGTGGTGTCTATGTGATTTTGGTTATCACGGTATTGCTGGGCTCATAGAATGATTCTGGAAATTTTCCTTCCTCTTGTATTTTATGGAATACTTTGAGAAGAATAGGTATTAACTCTTCCTTAAATGTTTGGTAGAAAGGGGCGCCTGGGTGACTCAGTTGTTAAACGTCTGCCTTCAGCTCAGGTCATGATCCCAGGGTCCTGGGATCAAACCCCACATCAGGCTCCCTGCTCTGCGGGAAGCCTGCTTCTCCCTCTCCCACTCCCCCTGCTTGTGTTCCCTCTCTCTCTGTGTCTCTCTCTGTCAAATAAATAAATAAAATCTTAAAAAAATAAAAATAAATGTTTGGTAGAATTTGCCTGTGAAGCCATCTCATCCTGGACTTTTGTTCATTGGGCGTTTTTTGATTACAGATTCAACCTCCTTGCTGGTAATCAGTCTATTCACATTTTCCATTTCTTCCAGCTTCTGTTTTGGTAGTTTATATGTTTCTAGGAAGTTATCCATTTCTTCTAGGTTGTCCAATTTTTTGGCTTATAGTTTCTCATACTATTCTAATTGTATTTCTGTGGTATGGTTGTTCTTTCTCCTCTTTCCTTTGTAATTTTATTTATTTGTGTCTTTTTTCTTTGTTTTTTGATGAGTTTGGCTAGAGGTTTATGAATTTATCTTTCAAAGAACCAGCTCCTGGTTTCATTGATTTGTTCTACTGTTTCTTTAGTTTCTATATCATTTATTTCTGCTCTAATCATTATTAGTTCCTAACTTCTGCTGTTTTTAGGTATAGTTTGGTGTTTTTTGTAACTCTTTTAGGTGTAAGGGTAGGTTGTTTCTTTGAGATTTTTCTTGCTTCTTGCGTAAGTCCTGTATTGGTATAAACTTCCACTTAGAACCATTTTTGATGCATCCCAAAGCTTTTGAACCATTGTGTTTTCATTTTCATTTATTTCCATGTACTTTTGGATTTCTTCATTCATTTCATGGCTAATCCATTCATTGTTTAGTAGCATGTTATTTAACCTCTATGTATTTGTGGTCTTCCCAGATTTTTTCTTGTGTTGAACTTCAACTTTCATATCTTTGTCATCAAAAAATATGCAGGGTATGACTTAAATCTCTGAATTTGTGGAGACTCTTTTTCTGGCCTAATATGTGATCTATTCTGGAGAATGTTCCATGTGCATCTGAAAAGAATGTGTATTCTGCTGTTTTAAGATGGAATGTTCTATATAAATATATCTGTTAAATCCACCCAGTATACTGTGCCATTGTTTGCTTTTTAATTATCTGTTTAGATGTAAGTAGTGTAGGGGCGCCTGGGTGGCTCAGTTGTTAAGCATCTGCCTTCGGCTCAGGTCATGATCCCAGGGTTCTGGGATTGAGCCCCGCATCAGGCTTCCTGTTCCACGGGAGGCCTGCTTCTCCCTCTCCCACTCCCCCTGCTTGTGTTCCCTCTCTCGCTGTGTCTCTCTGTCAAATAAATAAATAAATAAATAAACAAAATTTTTAGATGTAAGTAGTGTATTAAAGTCCCCTATTATTGTATTATTATTGATTGGTTCCTTTATGTTTGTTATTAACTGTTTTATGTATTTAGTACTCCCATGTTGGGTGCGTAAATATTTACAATCATTATCTTTTTGGTAGATTGTCCCCTTTATTATTATATAGAGTCCTTCTTCATCTCTTGTTATAGTCTTTGTTTTAAAATGTATATTTTAAAATGTGTATTTTCTGATATATGTATTGATACTCCAGCTTTCTTTTCACATGCATTTGCATGATAAATGTTTTTCAGTTCCCTCACTTTCACTCTGCATGTGTCTTTAGGTCTAAAATGAGTCTCCTATAGGTAGTATATAGATGGGTCTTGTTTGTGTTTTTTTTTTTTTTAATTCATTCTGTCACCCTATGTCTTTTGACTGGAGCATTTAGTTTATTTACATCAAAGTAATTATTGATAGATACGTATTTATTGCTATTTTATTACTTGTACTGTGGTTATTTC